AAAATGTGTTTGTATCGAACAAAATGCCACATCCAACTACATCACCAGCTCCATATCGCTCGCATCGTAAAATTTGTGTCCATGAAAAACAATGAACCCTGTTCTACCAACATAAGCGACTGAATTCTTTATTTCTCCTAAATTTCGATGCAATATGGTCGGAATATTTTGATCTTTTGTTAAATAATATTCCTCATCTCCAGATGTTTCAAGTGTACTCACAAAGCTATGGTGCGGGTCGATTTTGGATCTTTTCATGTGATGTACTGAAGCTAACGCAGCTTCAGGCTCGCGCCAAAGTCGCTTTTACTTCCGTGCGGAGGAGGGTTAAATCTGCTTTGTGAGACTGTAAGCATCACCTCTATTTACGAGGGTCGCTCCTTTCAAAGCTGGATTTCATCGATTCCGACTTTCACTAGGTACAGTACCTTAACACCCCGTGAGATGCTCATCAAGCGATCCCGCATGAGAGCTCGATCCTTCATAATTTTCAATCCAGTAAGCAGGAGCGTGCAGGCCGCACATGTATCTTGTATAAGCACAGATTAGCTTTTGTGAGTATCACGAGCCTGCTCGGTAATAAGATAAACTATCTCCTTGTCAATATATCTAATAATCATCAACTCTGGTAAGCTCGCAAAGCCTCTATTATCGGACCCCTCCTGAGCCGCACCACGAAGACTGATCTTCTTTTTTCATGCGGCACCAACGACTCCCAAAGAAGGTCGCGTTGATGCGGAACGTTTTGGCGCGAGTCGCATCTTAAAGACCCTCCATGAAGATGACAAAACGTTCTAACCGCGGATGAAGTTCTGATGCCAATGCAATATTCCTGGACATAGTGCACTAATACCCACGAATGCTTGCTGATGGGCACTTTTGAAGTGCGTCCGACGTAATCGTGTGTACGGCGCGAGTATTCGCGGCATGCATATGTCGGTTCCGTTTTTCCATGTTAAGAATGATGCATCAGCAGAGCTACTGCCAGTGAGTGTGCATTATAGTATGCGGCCTACTGATTTGGAGACCACATCTGCAACACATCGGGTTCCGTTTGGAGCATGGCCGACTCATGGCTACATGAACTTCCATCATGTAGCGATAATCATTTTTTGCTCCTGCGTCAGATAGACTGGTGTTGGAATACCAGTGGCCTTATTGTGAGCGTCATCTGCTCTTCGACCGACACCTGGATGAAGCATCCCCCGACGTGTCACCAGCGCACACTCATAGTGGTGAACGTCTCCTACTACGTCTAGGCTTTAAACCGCCATTTCTTTGATCCCTTTAGAGCGAACAATCAACACACGATCACCAAGCGTGTCTAGTTGTCCCGAAAACAAGTACTCGATGGTCAAGCGTTCCATCCGCACAAGATCTACATTTTTCACGACTATGTCGTCGGGTTGACTAAGTTTGCTACTAAGTGCACCGTGGGTTGTTGTATAGCCGACACAGAGAATATTCGACTGAGAAGTTCACAGAGGCTGGACTTGTATGGTCCCCTCAGAAGCAAAATGGAGAACCTTTATAGTGACATTGCCCTTCTATTCCAAAGATTATGGATATTATGTAATAACTTTATCTGAACAACATTGTACCGAAACCAGTTGTTAAACTGTTGCTATTGCTTCTATCTTCATTAATCGTAGTATCGGTGGATTTTGCGCAATTGTAAACTTCTGTTTGATACCGAACGAGGTACATGGCGAAGTCGTTGAAAATGGAGCTAGAACAATTTGAGGAACCCCATCTTCGGTGCGACCTTCTGTGCTTTTGTTGACGCAACTTTAGGGCCCAAAACTTTTTCTGCGCGAGAAGTACAGTATCCCCGTTGACTTCTGTGTGGAAAGGTTACTATTTGTGCTATCGTCTAACGGAATATTAGACCATGGATATACACGAACGCCTTTAGCCCATATTTAGCTAGACTTACAAACTCTCGTTTGCGAAGCAGGGAGACGAGTAAGGTGTCACGTTTTCCTCACTAAGTTGTGTTAAAACTCTCTGCCCACTCGTCACTTTTCATTACTCGAGGTTGAGCTCTGATAGAGAAATCGTTTTTCTTACCGCTGTTGCTCTAAGTGCAGGTGGTACTCCCAAGTCGTTGTGACTTGTGGAGTATCAAAGCTCACGGTGCGACTTTTGCTCCTGACGCAAACAGAAGGACGGCATGCATAAACATTTTAGGGCTCCACGCCAGTGCGGTGAGCAAGTTTGGATTGTTTGAAACCATAGTCGTTGCGTGATGAGATTGAAAAGGGCCGTTGCATATAGCTTGCACATGGACAGGTTGAATCTCCGAGCCAGTATTCGCTCATAAATGACGACCTGGGGGTCGTCATCAGCTCCGCATCGAGGTGCTACGACACCTCCCACCGTATGGGACGGGCACAACGTGTGGCGATCATGCAGATGGGTCGCAAAATACTTTCTTTTTAGTAGACTCTCGAGCGTAGGTGTCCAGATAAGGGCGGAGGTGTCGGGTCAGGGCTCGAAGATGATTTCCTTTGTGAAACAACTCGAAGACCTTGCAGAATATAGTCTTAAGACGTCAGTTCAAGAACCACGTCTCTTTTGAAAGCTAGCTGGCCAATTGATGGTGTGAACAAGAAATGACTTATGAATTAAAAGTGCCCTAAATGTGTAAGAAGTAGGATTAAACTCTAAGCGCAATCGGAGCTCGTTGAACGTTCACTTTTATGCGATTTCATACCGCCGATCCCAACGTAGTTAAGGTATTGATGGTAGAGGGTGAAACGAAGTATTTACCGTATTATTGTGCACGTGCACCAGACAAATTGGTTCAATTGAACAAAATTCTCAATTCACTTGTGAAATTGATTTTTTTAGAAGTACCAAGTTTTGGTACAATTAAATGACGAAACCCAATGAAAGAGAAGTCCTTAGTAATATGGGCTATTTAGTGGCACGCCTACCAATGAAGATAGTATATAGTTGGATGCAGACTGGGTTTATATTCAGTATTTCTTTGAATAAAATAATGTAGTCTCGATTTCGCCCTTGGATGAAGCATACATACTCATAGAGTAAATTTGTTAAGCCTCACGCCTGGAAGCTTTTGGCAGCCTAAGTCGCGCTTGTGAGACACCTCTGTGCTCGCATCAACCAGGTTTTGGAGTGACCTCGACCGGCTCCTATCCCGAGGGCATTTCTGTAACGTGCCTACCTCCTTGAGCGCAAGCATGAGGATGTCTTCTCACTCGACAGAGAGGTTAAAATAGCTTCAAATTGAGTGCACTTCAGACGATAAGCGCTTCATTATAGCCATCACCACGGATTGTGCTACATGTGAAAAAAGGCATTTACTAGATGTATAACTTTGAAAGAATCAGTATCAACATGAGAACTGCTATGTCGCGATTCTTTGCAACGCTGCTAATAGGCTTGTTGTGTGCAACCAAGATTATTGCCTGTCCGTCTGGGGAGGAAAGATTCAGCAAACAATGGCGAGGAGTCAAAAACTGCGATCACTTAGTTAACGGCAGAAAATACCAAGAGAAGACAGCAGCTGCCTACTTCCATAAGGGTCCCGGACAAATGCGGCTTAAACCGGAATCTTCCATATCTACTGAAATTTTACAAGGATGGTGAGGATGCTGCATTGAATACAAAACACGATTTTCGTTTCGCAAACGTCGGGTTAACTGCAGAAAGTAAAAGAACTTTGCGCTGGATCTCAGTAAAGCTACGGAGATAGAAAGGAACCTCCTCACAGTAAGATGTCAACGTGATACTTGCAGATGTCGTATCTAGAGCACTACCACCATTTGCGCTACGCTTGTCTCGTTTTCTTTGAATTGAGAGGTCAGTGGAAGCGAGCGGCAAAAACTAAGCTCAATTGTACCTCGTACATATTGATGTTAATTTCTAAACAAGCGACTTTGTCAAAGAGAGGTGGGGTGAAAATTGAGGTAAAGGCGTTGACCAACATCAAACTCTGGGGCTCGGCAAGAGTTGAAATTTCGAGGAGTGTGATACGTAGCGCAACTGTCGTGACAAATTATGTGAACGTGGAGAGTTTAAAAATGCCGACTCTAGCCACGATACCGTTAGATCTTTGTTATAGAAGTATCGAGTTTTTGATTTCGTTTGAACATTTTGCAGGATTTGAGAGCATTGCTGCGTGATATGTTGCCTAGCCCTAACCCTGGTTCCGGTATTTGAGCTCATCCTCGGTATTTCGTGACCTAAACACCACAGTACATGGACCAACTTTAAGATAAAAGAGTTAGGTTCTCGCATTTCTTTCACTAGAGCTTTGGTGATAATTTCACATACGTTTTAGTGGAGAAGAGCTCTTGGCGGGAAATAAAGCTACGACATCTTTGACTTAGTTAATGAAATTGGTCAGATGAACAGCAATGGGGCTGAGTGCCTGAGTCAGTTTAGAAGTCTAAATGGTAGCTAGCCGCAGTCTTGTCATTATATATTGCGGTGTATAGAGTGTATATTTGCAGATACAATGGTATGTAACGTTTTGGAAACAGCTATAAGCTGGACGTATTGTAGCGGCAATTTATCACGGCCATTGGGATGGGATAAAGTGAAAAGAGTGAGTGTGGCATTGTGTCGCAATCTGCAAAGTGATTGTCGAAGTAGACAAGCGACTATAAACCACAAGTAAATGACATAGGTCCCAAATTTGTAAAGGCAAATTCAAGTATGTCACGATTAAAGCAACTGCTGTATTTCTACTATCGTGAGGTGCGATCTCCCAACGGAGCAGTAAAGTTTTACGAATCTACGCGCGCGGCCGACGCGTCGAACATATGCGTCTGGTGTGATCAGGAACGCTGTAGCATGCGTCTGGTGTGATCAGGAACGCTGTAGCATGTCTGGAAGCTTTACAGACGTATGTGACTTGATATCTTAGCTCCTGGCAACGTGACGATCGTTTGAGTGCGTCAACTGTTGCCGACGCGTCGAACATATGCGTCTGGTGAAAACTTCGCGATGAAGTTTTCATTAACGTCATTTTCACAAAGGCACTGCCCGCTGATATTGACACTTGTATGTGACGTCTTGTCTTGGAGACCGTATGCGCGACGCGTCATTGCCCCGTCTAAAACATTTCGGATTCCCTTATACCATTACCATCCCAGCTTCTCCCATATAGAGATGTATTTTCTGTCTTCTATCTCAAAGATCCACCAATATTAACTGTACGTTACGTGTCCTTTGTAATGTACAGCTAATGTTGGTAGATCCATCGATGCCTCATTTATACGTACCTGAGTGTTTCACCAGCTAATATCCATACCTGGTACAAGTTACCAGGTAATCATTACCGCATCTGGCCCTTGAGAAGCTGCTTTAGTGACCCTTCGTAACCAACAATAGATATGAAATTAGCAACTCTTCGAGTTGTACCGCAAAAACGCCTCGTTAGCTACCCTTATGGAAAATGAAAACTTTTCACAATTAGGTCGTCAAAAATGACTCACAACTGCAACTTACTGCATGGGGTTGCCGTTCACCTTTAAAAACCAAAGTTTTGACTCATATAGTCCGCTTATACAATGCTTAAAGGATTTCTCCGTACGTCCATCTAGGAGCATGACCGAGACCCTCAAATGTGTCTGATTCCAAAAATGCAAAATTATTTTTTTTTCAGACTGATACTAAATATATAAAATCTACTTTGTTCAATAAAACTATCAGTTTTGGTTGAAAATTCCACCTCCCATCTGATTATTTACAATAACATTTAAAGTGTAACTTGATTTTTTTCTGTTCGATAGTGTAATAGTGCACAATTTTACGATATAAATAGACAGACATCACTATATTAGGTTCACTGCAGTTGCATTTTTCTACCTCTAAATTGGCATATTTACAATAAGCTCTAGCTAACCTCGTGGACACTTTTATCGATCTCCACATCACACATCAGGTCTGACTCTCACAATACCATTCAAGTACAGCCATGCATTTTCGCTACTTACGCGCTATTGTGCTGGCCAGTCTTCTCGCTGCCAGTACTTTGGCAAGAACAAATTTCAAGTCAGCCACGTCACAGACACAGCATTCAAGTGGATCTCAGAGCATTGACGATGAATTCAGGGTATTATCACTCCCTACATTCCAAAAGGAAGTTTTGATGACCAAAAAAAGCTTGTACCTACTTGGCTTGAAACACATCGTCGCCTCAGTCAGACATGTGGAGATTAAAGTGACGCCAAAAGAATATGCTGCGATATGCGAAATGAAATTAGGGTCACAAAACCTCCTGGCGGACACGTCATGGGCAAAATGGGCCTACTTTGTTTGCCTTCGAGAAATGGATGATTGGACGAGACGACACGAAGTAATTCTTTCTGCTATGAAGGATATATTTACTTCAGGTGATCTGGATGTTATATTCAAAAGAGCGCTCCTGGATTCTGAGACAAGTGAACTCGCTGTTGCACTAATCAATCATGATCCGCTCATTTTTGACAGGGTAACAAAGAAGATTCTTGCGGAGATCAATCGTCACAATTTCTTTGGTGATCATTACAACGAGTGGGTCAAGTGTATACGCATTCAGAGTGGAGATCAAGATGAAGAGACATATGTGCTTAAAGAACTCAAACATCTTACCGAGTTCTATGGAGAGTCCGATCTAGTTAGAATCTTAACCTCTCCAAAAAATCAAAATGACATAGGGCAGAAGTACATGGATGCTTTATGTGCGGTTTGGCTGAACGACAAAAAGAGACCGGACGATGTCATGAAAATGGTGATTGGCACCAAGTATCACCTCTTCAATTTTCTCTATCATGGTCCTAGAACAATTTCTCCTCAAGTGTGGGTGTCCTACCACTATCATTTCTATGTAATGTATCCCAATGAAGCACGTATGTTGACGCTACTTGATACGCTAACCAGTGCTATCGGTCCCGCAAAAGTGGCGATCATGCTCTGGGCAGCGCAAATGTCTCCAGATTTGCTAGCCAGAGAGTGGGCCCTTTATTTTCAAAAAGCACAATATCAGGAATGGTTTGCCAAGGGGCTATCATCTGACACTGTTGAGAAGGAAGTAGCGAATGACGTGAAGATTGACGATTTCGGAGTGTGTTTTAGAACTGAGCTGGCCAATTACGTCCGCAATGAATACACCACGGCTCTTCTTCATCCCAATTTTAAAGAACTAAATGTTCTTGGTCTCGATATTGGTTTACAAGGGACATAAACTGCGTTTACCAACACATTCGTGACAAAAAATATGATACACTTTCTTTGCATTACAATCTAAAAGCTTCTGTCATTTGTAGAGCACAACAAACGTGCACTGCTTACTAGTAGAATGATCTTTCTACATTAATTATCAAAGCATGCGGAGATCGAATGATCCGGCTTAAAGACCTTGGCATTTACCATTTTGCTATGATAACTCAACTCTGTGTGTGCTTTTCACACTCCACGAGGATCCGTTTGTTATCGCATACAGTGCTCTTGAATTGATAGTGATATGGCCATTCACAATAACAGCCATTTCCTATCATGAAGATGGTAGAACACTTTTAGAAATAAATAACTTGGGAATATTGCAGTGAATAGAAAGCAGTGACCTTCATCGCTCTTACTCCGTTGTGCTCAAACACTTACACGCCGCAGACCCAGAAAAACTTCAGAAGTGGTACTATTTGTATCCCCATCCCGGCATCCATCATCGTCTCCGAACCAAGAAGACGCATAAGTGTAAAGTCATTCGTATTAGCTCCATAAATGACATTTCGCATCCACGAAAGGCAGTGCTGGTTTTATTGAACTCAAATCTGCTGCAAGTTGAATCTTGACCAATAATGTCATCGGATCTCAATGATGGGATAGAGATTGTAAGACGTAAGGAGTACAGAAAGGTCAACATCCGGACTTTTTTTATTAGAAAATGGGTAAGATCTGACTCTATGTGTCACATGATTTGTTAGTGTTGAGAAGATGTGATCATTACAGTTGAAAATCGATATCGCAGCTACTATACATAACGTTAACATTTGTTTGCTACTCTTGTGGTTAAGGTGTAGTGGCTTCACTTTCGTGATTGTGGCTACATCCCAGACTTAATTTCATGATGCTTAAGGTTTACTGTGGGAAAACGTCCTTTTATGATCTACAGACCTGATCGTACAGCCTAATGTGGTATCGATATCGCAATGTCTGGACGAGGACATAGCAACATAATCAGCTTTTTCACTCTGACTTTTATCAACAAATCAACATTTTGTCGTGTTTATCTTAGGGTATCGATGTTATGTAGTGGAGGCAAATGCCGAAGTGAATTAGTTAGCAGCTATACAATCCACCATTCCTACATGTCCGTAACTACCTTCCTGTGCACCCTTCTTGTTCCCTGTGTCTCTGCAGCAGCCGCCCTCGAGCTTCTCCCTGCGACGCCCCGACGAGATGAATGGTCGCGGGGGGTGGAGTTTTGGATGAGATCCAATCACATCTAGCACTCACTTCATTATCTCCCTATTTGATATTGCCATACGTGAATTGCCGATCCCAGTCATCATTCGTCGAGTCAGTTCCCTATCTTGGCAGAGCTCATGCACGTGCCCTACGCGTCCTCCAGACCATTGATCACCTTCACGTCATTCATCGATGAGTCCTTGGCTCGTCCAGCTCTTATTACGCGGCGCCACTTTAACACTACCACTCGCCGCTAACGCGCAGCGAGCCTGGCGCGTACTCCGCTCGCCGAGCGAAGTACCCGAAGTCGCTTGGTTCCCAGCGGCTTTGTCATCATGTCCGCCAACTGCAACTCCGTGCCGATAAAGCTGACGACAATAGCCTCCCTGGCCACGTCCTTCCGGATGAAGTGATGGCTAATGTCCACGTGCTTGGTCCTTGCGTTGTAGCTGACGTTCGACGCCAGCGCGATCACCCTTTGGTTGTCTTCCCAAATGCGAGTCGCTTTCACTTGCTCATGACCAAGGTCCTTGAGCATCGCCCGCACCCAGAGTACTTCTTGAGTGCACAGACTCAGTGCGATGTACTCCGCCTGCGCCGTGCCCAGCGCCACCGTGCGCTGGTACTTTGACTTGAAGACCACGAACGCTTGCCCGATCTTT